CACACACACACACACACACCAACACAAATCAGACCTCCACATGGAGAAACTAAAGCCAGTTTATCACTGAGCTGCGATTGGTGAAGTCAAGTTGACCAATTAAAAAGAAACTCTTTTTTTGTTGAACATTTGATACATTTATTATAATTCTTTGTCAAAAATCTGAGTTCTTGAAATTTGCAAATACTGCTTTCTGTTTTAATTTACATTTTACTCCTTGTTCAACATTTGGAGTTTGTGTTTCTGTGTTTAAACCAGTCGGTCCGCCTGGTTCCCGCTGTAAGTTGTTGAAATTTCCAGACTATTTTGTGCCTCCAGTTAGTTTCCAAAAGTTCAAAGGGAAACACAGCTCTAAGGATTACACCTGTTCTGTCAAATATCTGTTGTAAAAAAGGTGCACGCAGTAAAAAAAACAAGAAAAGCGACAAGAGAAAAGATGTTCACGTGTCAAGGCAAAGTGTGGTTTCTTTGTTACTGAGATGTTTTCAGATGGTAACACAAAGATTCATCTCATATGTTGATAAAAATGAATTTTATCACTTGAACAAAGGATTAAAACTGGATTTACATAGGTTCTAATAATTAAATGGTTTAAATGATAAATGATTTAATACAACATGGAGGCAAGAAAAGCTTCAAAATCTGTTGTGTAGTGGTTTAGATGTTTCTTTTTGGAAACCTGCAGGGAACGTTAAAGGAACTGAGACTGTGCTGACCTATTGGAGCTCTCTTGGCACCTGGGAAACAATCTGAGCGATCTATTCCAGCAGACGCAATTGATGCTGACTGCCAGGTGTCCTCCACAGGAGACAGATTGGGAATGGAAAAAACACGTACACATGCATGCTCGGGGTTTTTTCCTGAAATATATGTTGGTGGAAATCACATTTCCAAGAGACCAAATGGGTGAAATGTCTGAAAGCCCCCGTGGTGCAGCTGCTTTCCCACCCTGCCACCTGCCTTTTAAACTAATCCTGATTGCATCAACAAGTTCCTTTGTAAAGTGCAGAGAAGAGACATTAGGATGGACGCCACATGGAGACACATCAGCTGGGATTGGCTCATTTAGGCAGTTGGATGTTGGAGTGGGTGTTCATGATCTACAATTACATTATTGCAAATCAATTGTAGGCGTATTACAAGCCTGTGTTTTCTATTAAGCATTGGTTTGAAATGGTTTTATTGTGGCGTGCTGACCATGTCTGCGATGCTCTCAGGAGCTTCGTGCTCAGAAGTGTTCAATCTGCAGATTGCTCGCCTGGGTCGTTGTCCTTCAGGTGACCCAAGGTTGGTGCCGTAAACTGCTGACAGGCCAGTCTGAGTGTTTTAATAACAACGACAACCAAAAAAATTTAAAAAAAGCTAATAAGAGACGGAAAAAGCTCTCGAAACACTTGTGGTCAAACAACCTTCTACCATTTCTGAATCGTAGAATACGAGGAAATGCAGATTAAAAAGTAACCCTTGAAAAACTGTTTTTGAATATTCTTGGACTGCAAGAGTCTGAACACTCTTATTTTTCTTATCTACAGTGTTTTAAAAAGGTAAACCCTGAGCTCAGACACAATGGGAGTCTGAGAGTTTTAGTATCTCTGTCCTCTGAGGGGACTTGAACCAAAAAAACAGTGATTAACAAAAATACTTATATTTATAGGTATATTTATAGGTACAAACTGTAGAAGAAGCATATAGACTGTGTAACTAAAGGCATTTGCATTATTTTACAAAAGTTTTAAACAGCCTAAAAGTTAGTTAGTGTGGCTTCATGACTCTGAAGTTACCATCTGTAGTTAAAAAAATCACCAAACTAAAACTTTTGAGAAGAAAATACAAATGTCAATTCAACTTTCTGCGACTAATTGACATTAGAAATATGTTTTTACTAAAATAAAGAGCATTAAAGTGACATATGTACAACTAAAATGAAAAAGCAGGTCATGAAAGGCAGCACCTGTCCTGTGTGTGCAGAGCTCACGGACCTGACGCTCGAATCCTGGAGGAATCAAAGATGCCTCCGCTGGGTCAGCTGACCCTGCCTCAGATGCTGCACATCGCCGCTCAGATTGCCTCAGGGATGGTTTACCTGGCGTCTCTGCACTTCGTCCACCGTGACCTGGCAACCCGCAACTGCCTGGTGGGGGAGGGTCTGGTGGTGAAAATAGGAGACTTCGGCATGTCCCGAGATATTTACAGCACCGATTACTATCGGGTAAGTGTCTCTGACAAAAAGTCATCATTAAGGACAGTTTGTACACAGTTTAGTTTTTTCTTTTCCTATTTAAACTACTGAGTCACATTATTACACAACCTGTCAGGGGACAGAGGGGAAAAGAAAAAAAATAAAACAGATCTTGACTAACCTTAGAAGATTCTGAGAAACCTTTGCAGGATACTGAGAGACCTTTGCAGGATACTGAGAAACCTTTGTAGGATTCTGAGAAACCTTTGTAGGATTCTGAGAGACCTTTGCAGGATTCTGAGAGACCTTTGCAGGATCCTGAGAAATCTTTGCAGGATCCTGAGAGACCTTTGCAGGATTGTGAGAGACCTTTGCCGGATCCTAAGAAACCTTTGCAGGATCCTGAGAAACCTTTGTAGGATTCTGAAAAAACTTTGCAGGATCCTGAAAAACTTTTCTATGATGCCGAGAAACCTTTGCAGGATCCTGAGAGACCTTTGTAGGATTCTGAAAAAACTTTGCAGGATCCTGAAAAACTTTTCTATGATCCCAAGAATCCTTTGCAGGATCCTGAGAGACCTTTGTATGATTCTGAGAAACCTTTGTAGGATTCTGAGAAACCTTTGTAGGATTCTGAGAAACCTTTGTAGGATTCTGAGAAACCTTTGTAGGATTCTGAGAAACCTTTGTAGG